AAAAATTGTAGTTACTTATGATAACAAATTTATTTAACGCTTGACATATTCTCAGTTATTCATGTACAGCTGCTGCTTTTTCTGTTGTTTTTTGTTATATTTATTGTTAGTAGATAAAAATATAATCACGAAGTGAAACACATACGAATACAAGTGAATTAATCTTGTCATCTAATATAAGTTTATTTAATTTTAAAATATGAAATAGTTTTAGAAATACGAAGACAAATAATGAAAGACAATAAAATTAATTAAAATTTGAAGACATTCTTCTCTGTAAAGCCAAGACCTTTGAGAAGACCACTAAGATCACCCTACAATAGAAAAATATTTATATTAAGAATTTTTATTAAATAATAATAAATACCTGTTTATAGTCTTTTGTTTTATCTCCACTAATTAGTTTCATAAATCCAGGTGGACCACAAACCATAACCAAAAGACTTTCATCATCCTTTTTAGATGGCATAGGTAATACTTTTTTCAACATATCAGGTGTAACATATCTAAATATATAAAACATGATTTCGATAATTATTCAATATTCACATACCCAAAATCGCCTTTCCATGATTTTGTTTCTTTATCCTCAATTTTATCAACTGTATAATAAACTTTCAAACGATCTGGATGTTTAGCAGCTAATTTATCCAAATCTTCTTTTAATAAAATATCACTTATTGTTGTATTGGCAAATAAAAGTGTAACTTTTGTTTTATCATCTGGATTGGAAATAACTTCTTCAATCATTTGAATCTTTAAATAATAAATTATTATTTTAAAAATAAAACGAAAAAATATTAAATTCTACCATTGGTGTAATACCAGTACCACCAGCAATTAAACCAAGTTTTTCAAACTTATTAGCTTCATATGGATATTTTTGCACTAAAATAAAAAGATATATTTGTAACAAACCAATATCAACTGTGTTACTATTTACTAGGTCCTTTAATTTCAATTCTATCACCCTTTTTCATTGCATGAACATGTTTACTCAGAACACCTTGTGGATACTCTTTAATAAGAAATTCTAATTGACCAATTGTATTGGGACGTGATATAGGTGTATATGGTCGAACAACATCTTTTCCATTAACGTCTGTTCTAAGCATAACACATGAAGCTGTTTTTCCATTAAATTTTGCTTTTGGATCATCAAATGCAAATGTAAATACATTAGTATTATGATTATATTTTTTAATATCTGTTAATTTAATTGAACGGAATGCATTTGGATCAAGTGCATCAGGTGCTGAACTTGCTTTTGATGCACTAGCTGGTTGTTTAGTTTCAAGCACAAGTTTTCGGCCAGGTCCAAAATAGAGCAAATAACTAGCACCAGCAACTGCTAAACCACTACCTACCCAAATCCATTTTTTTGATGCACGAGCAGCGGCTGACATATTAATACAGTATTATAACCACAATGACGATAACAAAAGTGAATGAATGGTTGACTAAATGTATAAATGACTGAATGATTTATGACATAGCAAAAAAATTTGGTAAGCTGTTTATCGTCTCCAATCAAGTAGAACAAAATGAGTACAATAACGACATCTATGAAAATGATTGTCACTAAGGCGATGTTTCGATAGTCTGTTCTTAAACAGAAATAATCTATCGATAAAAACAAATGAAATCGTGATAAATCTCTAATCGTTGATAGTCTAATTTTGTTTTTTTTAATAAATATAGTCTCTATCATTTTTTTGTCGATCAAATTATCTTATTAACTGAATATTGAAAAGAATCTATACATGCTTTTTATTTCTGAAGTTTCATCGAAGATTTGATATTGTCCTACAGAATTTTATGAACATATATAGTAATTCGCTCCTTGATCAACCTATGCATATCACACTGGATAGACTTCTCAGCATTTTCGTAGACAGTTATTTGATATTATGGAAAAGAATGAAGTTAGATAGAGGATGTATAACAATAATAAAACAAATCTTTGATGATTCTATTAAAGAAATATATATAATGGTAAGAATGTAGTTCTTAAACAATGAATCAAAATTGAAAAAGTTGAAATATATATATATATTCCTTTTAATATAATTCAAAATAATATTATTTACGATTTTTAAATGTTAATCACTCGTTTAGTTTTCCAAAAAAATAATGTTAAAATGATACATACATAAAAGAACTTGTTTAGATACTGAAAAAGTACGATGATAAAATGACTTCATAGTCATATGTGTAATATTAAGATTTTCAATATAAAGACGATCAAATATAAATTGAACAAATCGTTCATTAATATCCATACGTGAATAAATAACATCAGCAATATTTAATTTCTTGATAATAATAAATTTAAGAAAAAAAACAGAATAAACAGACAAAATGAAGAAAAAAAAATCAGACATATCTTAATAAAAAAAATTGATTGAATAGAAAGAGCAAAAGTTTTTTATTTATTGAAATCCTTCACTGAAATTTTTCCAGTTCATTGTCGATCATGATGAGACGTCTCTTGTAATCAAGATTTACCCGTCCAAAATATTTCATTTTTTTCTGTGTCCTTGGCTTGTGCTTCGTCGTTCAAGCTTGTAGCACTGTGTGCTTCTTTATAACTGATTTCATTTCTGAAGTTTCGTAATTTAATTACCTATATATTCCAGGTCGATGATTTCGAACGCTGTTTTCGGCGTCGTTTAAGGCAGGAAACGGCTAGAAAACGGCTGTGAACGAATGTCGTTTCTCGCCGTATAACACCGTAATCCGTATACCCAGATTTGTATATGTAGTCTTGCCGAAACGAAAACGGTACCGTTTCAGGTCGTATCCGGTGAATAATGATGAACCGTATCCATACCGTTTTTAGCCGTTTCATGCCTGAAAAGCGACGTTCTTTGAAGCTGTATGCTGTTAAAATACGAACCCTTTTCGGCCCGTATCGAAATAGACAGTCACTTTCTGTTACCATCACCCACTCCTTCCCTACCTCACTCCTGTCTGTCGTCCTTGTGTAACTAAATACTTACCATTTAATTTATTGTTATAGATGATCAAAAATAAAGAAAAAGAAGGGTGTGGGTGTGAGTGTGGGCGGTTGTAAACATAACTCATCAAGATGTGGGTGGTTGTAGGGAACACTATCACTATGTATCATTCTAGTAGTATCATCATGTCTATAGAATTAAAATTTATTGTTGATCACAAGCTTAGGTTGATAATAATCGAGAGGTGATCGACTTAGAATAATACTATTTTATTTAGTACAATGACCGAAGTTTTTATATTTACTGATGCAATACTTCAATTTTACAGTCTACGACTTGATAAAACAGTTTTATTAAATAATATACACTATAATCATTTGAAACTTAAAAAAAATAGCACTGTTTTACTTTTATTCACCAAATGATACGAAGTTTGACTAACAGTAACTATTCTTCCATAACAAGCAACGCTCGTCCGATGATTCGCTTTGCTCTTTCTCGTAGCAATCCATTTTCTTCACATTTACTGGAAAAACAAATTAAAAAAGTAAAAAAATTATTTTCGGTGTTTTTTTGACCTTTGAACTTTTATCTCTGCCCCCTCCACACGGTCACTCAATAGTCCTCAGATTCGAACTCTCCGCATCGAGATACCTCTACAAATGTCTTTTCCAGAAAATTGGTTTTCAATGCTTTTTCGACCCTGCGGACAGACAAACAAGCAAGGAAACAATTTATTCTTACTGGACACTTCTCTACGAGAAAGAGAACAGTCCACACTTAAATGAAATGATATATTTATGATTTTTCTATTAAACATAATTTTTTTTTGCGTACAAACTAACCTGATCGCCAACAAAATATTTACAGAACATTCAGCTATGTTCCATCTGTTCAGAAATAATTACTTTTATTGGCTTACACGGATTAGATAGTAAAAAAATCCTAGAGATTAACATTTCGCTTAAGTCTTTTCCATGTAAACATCGATTATAAATATATTCAGATTAAGTCTTTAGTTTTGTATAGAAAATGTTTTTCATACAATGAATATAACTAACTTCGCATTTTTTCAACAATTGGAGATTCATATAATATCTAATATGAGCTTAAAATAAATGATTTAATAATATCTAAAGTTCGTTTTCTGTTAAGTTTGTTGAATAAGTATTTAATAGATACTTAAATATATATTGTTCTTGTTATTATTTATCTTAATAGATCAGTGAGAGTTATTGAACTAATACTATTTTAGCTTACAAATAATTTAACATGATATGATATTTCTATGCTTGCACTACAAAAGACTTATTTTGTAAGATCTATCTAATAAATCTACAATATTACTGATTATTTCTATTCTGATTTACATTCATTTCGATTGTACTAACATATTAACATGACAATTTTGATAGAAAATAAAATAAGTTTATTATTTTCATTCGCAACTTTGGCTCTATCTTAACTGTTGCTAATAGTAATCAAATTTATTCTGTTGATGTATATGTATATTTAGTTTGTTAATTCTTGAGTTAAAGAATGATTTGTCATTATTTTCAATTTCTGTTGCCGTCTATTATGTTTATCTGCTGTTGTTATTTTGGTGCATTAAATACCTTAGATTTTGTATTTCAAGGGAACTCATTTCTTCGATGTTCTTCGTATGAATATATTGTTATAAAAGACTGGCTAAAACTTCTTTCATCGAATGTATCGTGCAATAATCAGACGAATCTTTTTCCACGCAACACGGTTTTAAAAGTTTACAAATCTGTTACATCTCTGGTCTGTGACGACCTAACAAAACAAACTAGGATATCTTCTAATATCACGCCTTTACTGCCACCAAGTACCAACAACAAATCAACACCGGAAGATCTTCAACAATTCCATGGCACAGTCAATGTTGATAAGGATACTTATTCCTTCCAACCTAGTCTTGAGTCAACGTCATCAAACGTTACAATTCACTACAAAAACTTGCACTGGTCATCGAATTTTGTGTATACTTTATACTTAACATTTGATAAACAACCAATTATGTGTCGTATTAAACTGAATATTTCTGAAACGGTTAACAATGGTAAATGCGTAAATGATGGTGCTGGAAAAGCATTAATTCATTGTTATTATGATCCTCAATCAACGTCAAAACTATTACTAACGCACGTTAACTGGACACAACTAGATTATCTCAGGGCTGATGAATTTTATTATGCAAGTAACTGGACAGCTCAAGGTGGATACTATATTAATCTTCTCTCATTAAAAACAACTAGCACATCGGTAAATTGCTGAATGTTCTACTTTTTTTTTGAATATTTATTAAATACTAATAATTGTTTAATTCTTACAGTTCTCAAGTACCTTGAAAAGAAACACAAGATTGATAAAAACGTTTTGAGACTAAATATTCATATTAAGTTTCTTTATTTGAATTCTAAGTTTTACAACGATTGCAAAATCTACTAGACAGAGAAAATACATATAAAATTTGTACTGTTTTTTAAATACGAAAATTGTATACAAATTTTCTGTTTCGAACAAATACATTTGAAATTAGTAGGAAATGTATCGATTAGAAAAGGTCAGATTAATTATCATTTGAATGGTTAAAAATTATGATTATTTATTTACAAACATTTTTTTTATAAAGTTCTTATAACGTGAAGGTACTATCATCTGGAGAGGTTCGAATTTGAGATGTTATTATCCAATTATTACATGATAAAAGACTATTTTAACAGTATCGAAACCGAAGTTGTATAACCTGATACTTGACATCATTTTCAATAGACAACTACCACTACAACTGCTACCACATTAACTTCAACAACAACAGCTCCTGTGACCAGTACAACTACGACCACGTCAACTTCAACAACAACTACAACACCTCCTGTGACCAGTACAACTGCTACCACATCGACTTCAACAACAACAACAACAGCTCCTGTGACCACTACAACTACTACTACGTCTACTTCAACAACAACAACAACACCTATTGTGACTAGTACATTGACGATGACTACAAAACATCAAATAATTACAACATCATCAATCATACTTTCAGATACAGGTACAACATTTTTTAAATCCAAAGATACTACCCGAAAACTTGAAATAACAACAAAACCATTGATAACACTTTCAAATAAAGATACAACATTTCCTAAATTCATAGATACCGCCACATCATTTATAGCAATAACAGAACTATCCATGGCTACTTCTGCAACAATTTTAGGAAAACCATCAAACAAATCGCGATTGCCAATAACATCTCTCAATAATCAACATTCTTCCAACAAAACCTCTAAATCTTCGAGTAAATCATTTTTAGTATTATCAACTATTATTTTACTGTGCATCGTTGGACTCGTATCATTTGTAATATTTCATTTTTATGGAAATCGACAAAATAAGGATGAATCATTTTTGCAACACAATAATAGTGATGAGTCCATGAATTCTGAAATGAATGAATCTGAAACAGATCTATCAACAGAATATACTATGCCGGTCCAGACACAGTTGAAGTTATCTAACATAGAACCAAGTCGAAAAGGTGGACGTGTATTTAGTCAACTCGATCCAGATGCATAGTAAACTGTTGTCATATCTAAAAACAACTAATTATGTATTTTAATAAAACTATTTGTTTTTGTATTTATTTATTATAAACTCTGATTCTTTAAAATTAAATATTGTCTCTATTATTGGATCTGATGTAAAATATTAAATACTATTAAACTTGAACATTAAACTGATTTCTGAAATTATATTGCAACTATTTTTTTCTTCGTGAGAAATGCACTCTATGTAATTACATGATATCTCAATCTAACGAGAACAAGGTGAGTAGTTACATACTTGTACTTCTAATTTTTAAGTTTCGAATAATCATTCATTGAATTCATTTTTCAAGATTTAATATATATATCGAAGAGTATGGAAATATGATTTTGTTTCATATGCTTTGAAATACTGTTCAATTTACCGCTACAATAGATTACATATGATTTTAAAAAGTAAATATCTAATTGCATTGTTAGTGACCAGTCAATATCGTTTGTCAGTAAATTATAGTCATATAAAGTAAATGATAGAAGTTTTTTGTAATTCTCTCCGTTAGCAGAATGAATTTAAGTAATTTGAATTGATTATCGATAAATTTAGCTACATAAATAATTTATGATATTCATATCATTTTTATCACCAGGTCACGAGTATCTATAATTCATGCAACCACCACAACCACCCACACTCACTTACTTTGATAGGGACTTAGAGAAAATACACCGTCAACAAAGTCCAGAAAATTAACCTCTTCAACACAACCACCCACAGAATCACATAATCTACATTTTTGCAAAATAAAGTGAGGTGCCCACATCAAGTTTTTCCAGTGAAATTTTCTGTGGAAGCATTTGAAACTATAAAAGAGCCAGAAAAACAAGCTAAAAAGATGAAAATATTTTAGGGTGATTCTTCCTATCAAATTTTCATTTTCTCAACAATGTTAAAAGTTAGAAAAGAGATTTTTTTAGCACAAATACTATCAATGATGGGCTATCTTCTGGCGGTATTGAAAGTTCCTTTTTCTCAAATTTTTATTGCACCCTGCTATATACCATTTCTAGAAAGCATGTCCAAACATGTAGAATCACTTAATCATATCAACGTGATAGATCAATTCAAAAGTAGTCTCATTTGAAAGAGTACATTCGAATGTGTCGGTTCATATCAAAAAAGAGTTTGTTATTTTGAATTCTTTCTAATAAAGTTTTTTCAACACTTTTCTAGTCTTTTTCGATAGACTTTATTTTAGAGAAGGTCGTATCTGAGTGTTTTCAATATTATGAATTGCCTTAGTCAAAAAACTAATAAAATATTGTAAATCAGCACAAAAAAATACACTGAAAAACATATATTTCGCGTCGAAAAATTTTCATCTTTTTAGCTTGTTTGTCTGGCTCTTTTATGGTTTTAAATGTTTCCACAGAAAATGTCACCAGAAAAACTTGATGTGGGCACCTCACTTTATTTTGCAAAAATGTAGATTATGTGATTCTGTGGGTGGTTGCATGAATTGCAGATACGCGTAAACTAGTGACATCTATAAGAAGTAATATCATTCATTATTTCTTTATTGAATGAAATCTTCATTCATTTTATTGTTTTTACTGATAAAAATTAGTAAGGGTTGAAGAAATAAAGAATACTCTCTATGAATCATAACTACATATATCATACTTATGAGTCATTATACTATCTGACACATACATTGTATTATAACGGTCATTTCTAGAATATATTTACGATTGCTTGTAAGTCAGTGATATTCATTATTAATACTCTTATCCATCGTGATGAAAGATTTTTTCTTATTGACATGATTTAGATTTGTAAATGTTATACATTTTGAAGAACAACAATGCTTAAAATATATTTACGAGTTTTCTTTATTTATTCTTAAGAATTTTTAATTACTGTTTTGGTAATAAATCGAATGTATCGGTCTTCGTTAAGTATTTGGCAGATCAGAGAATGTGTTGCTTTTATAGATAAATACCATTTTGAATCTGTTTTAGTTAGAGTTCAAAAGCAGATAATAGATTATTTTTAATAAGTTACTTTTATCTAATATTAGTTAACATTAAGAACATTATCTTATTTAATCTAATTATTGTTTCTTTTTAAATTTCAGATCAATTTCTTTTCTTAAAGCAATTCTTCATTTGAAATCAATAAAAAAAGGATATTATCATGTCGGGTATGTAACAGTTCATTTCCTTTAGTTATACAATATAAATTCTTAATGTTTTTTATTTTCACAGACAAATTAGCTTTTCAATTTAAAATGCAAACAAAAATGCTTGAACGACAATCAATTACACATGATAAACAAGAAAAAGCTGAACGCGATAAAGTTAAGAAAGCTTTAATGAAAGGCAATATTGAAGCAGCCAAAATTCATGCTGAAAATGCTATTCGACATCATAGTGAATCATTGAATTGTAAACGAATGGCTGCTCGTGTTGATGGTGTACAAGCACGCGTTGCAAATTCAGCAGCACAACGACAAGTAAATTTTCATTAAATCATTTTATATAAATTTAGATAAAATCTATATATATATATTCTTAGATGGCAGCAAGTCTTAAACAAACAGTTACATTAATGTCAAAAGTAACTGCAAATATGCCATTAACTGAAACATCAAAATTAATGGATAGTTTAGAGAAAAATTTTGAAGATTTAGAAGTCAAAACAAAAGTTATGGATGATGCTATGCAAAATGCTACAAGTGTACAACAACCGGTAGATCAAGTTGCTAATCTTATGCAGGAAATGGCTGATGAAGCTGGAATTGAACTTAATCTTAATATTCCAACAGCACCTGCAGTAGGCACATCTGTTGCTCTTAAAGAACAAGTAAAATCTTATTTTTAGTTTATTGATTGTTATTTTTGAATGCTTCTTTCTAGGATGAACTTAGTCAACGATTAGCAAAATTACGCGAATCTTAATATACATATTGGCATAAATTCATATATATATAACCGAATGACTCTCGGTGATGTCATGAGAAAAAAAACACTTAGTTGCATTATTCATTGTCTTTTCTTTTTCATTCTTATTAATACAAGCTCTATATATGTATATAAAACCTGTACGTGTATGTCTATTTGTTTTTTCTTCATCAAGCCTTAATATTTATTTAAAAACCGATTTACCATATATATCGAATAATGAATCAATGTCAAACATTTGATAAACAAAATCCTTTTTTTTTCTCCTTGAATTTCTAATATATCTGAAAAGAAAAAGTATATTGTATATTCTCTTATTTGTCTATCGATATAAATCGAGGACACACATTACTCAGCCTTAAATCAATATACATTTGTGGCACATGATGTATTCTATTACTGATCTTTGTATTTATTCGTGAAGTAAAAGAGAGAAAAAGAAAGAGAAATGATTCGTATGGTACTAAAACAAAATCGACAATATTGTTCTTTCTGCTTTTCATCGAAAATATTTTTTTATATTTATATATAACACAGCTGTCTCATTTTCACATATATGCGAAGTATTAAAAAAGTATATAATCAAGAATCAAATAGAAAATGTGAAGCAATATCGGTGTAAGAATGAATACTAATGTGAATGACGAAGATTATCTTGATAAATTGACTCGTGCATTGCCTTGGCATCGAACATTTTCATTATATGATCGAATTTTAATCGTATTTGCTGCTGCAATATTTGTATCATTTGTCGGTTGTACTTTACTTTGTTTTATTTATTCACGATCATCTCTACGACGACGATATTCTTCGAAAGCAAATCTTAGTAAGTATTTATTATACATATAGTAATAAAATGATATTAATATTTAATATAAATTTTATCAAGATAAAAAACAAAGTGTTTCGATCCCTACAGCACCCAAAGAAGATACATTTGTATATACATCATCACCACCAAGTTATGAATCAATTGTTCTAACAGACAATGGTACTACTTTTAATAACTTAAGTAAAACTCGGCCTTCGGAATTGGAAAGAAGATCAATTCCCTGCTCAATATCAGATAGTGATGGTGATCGTCTATCGTCAATTAATAGAAAACGTTTTCTATCACAATCGACACGTTCATCTCTTTCGAATGATGATGCAACATCAACGAGAACAATGGTTAATAATTATCTATCACCTCCATTTACTCAAGTTCATACTAAACTTCATTTTGATACTATAAAAAATCTGCTAATGATTCATTTAACAAATGTTGAACAGATTGCATTACATCCAGCATTTGATGAACAAGCCGAATTTTTTATTCACGTACAATTAATAAATAATAAAATATTGAAAAAATTTCAAGACATACATAAAAAACATTGGTCAAGTGTACAATTCATTACATGGAAAAAACAGCAAGAAAAGACAACAAAGTCTAACAAATAAATTTTGATTGATAAATATAACATTGATTGTTTATATCTTTTAGGAAATTAGTTCGAATATCAGATGACAAATTATTATGTGATGAACATTTACAATTTGAGCTGAGTAAAGATAATATAACATCAACATCACTTCGATTTTTATTTTTTTGTATCGATCGATCTGGTATTCAAGATTTAATGTTTGAATCAGTACTTTGTTTGACTACATCTATGTTAAATGAATATCAACAAATCATTGAATTTAAAGATCTTCCTCAAGTATAAAAGAGAAATTTATTTAGAAAAATTTGTATTTCTTGTTTTTAGATTACATTCGGTGAGATATATCTTGGTATTAGTTACTTACCAACTGCAGAAAGATTGACAATTAAAGTTAATAAGTTACGTTATCTTTGTAAAATAGAGACAGATGAAAAAATCGGTAAGAAATAGATAAGGAAAATATGATCACTCTCATTCTATTTTTATTATCTTTAATAGATGCTCATTTAACCGCAGTATTTTTTCATCATGGTCGTCGATTTTTTCAAAAGAAATTTTCACCTTTTATTATCGATGGATCAGTAACAAAACATAATAATATATATGAAATAAATGAGAGTATTATGCAAAATATTCCACAAAA